ATGCATCTAATTAAATTTATTTAACATTAAAATTAATTTTAATTTATATATATTTATATATATTTATAAAAAAAATATATATTTAAAACATTTTAAACTTATTTCCAAACGCACATTTAGAAAAATGCAATTAAGAAAGCTCCAAAATTCCAACTTTTGCGTTTTATTTCGGTACTACATCCCTCAACCAACCGATGTGGCTTGCTTTATCATTTAAACAACGCGAAGCTAGCTTCAACTTTCAACAGTCTCTGTTTCAATCCTTGACCCGGCCCCCTACATTCTTCCTCCCATTTCATGGCCAAAACGCCGGCCAAGCGCCTAAAAATAACTGACAGCCACCGACATCCGCCCCTCATACACGGGCTCCCTGATCATATCGCCCAACTCTGCCTCTCCCATGTCCACCCTTCCTTGCTCTACTCCGTTTGCCACTCATGGCGGCGCGTGCTTTACTCTCCTTCTTTTCCTCCTTTCTTCTCTTTGTACGCTCTGTTTTCTACGGATCAGTGTCTTGCAAATTCCATCCACTTTTTTAGCTTTGATCCCTTCTCCTCCAAATGGGACCCTCTTCCCCCACCACCGCCGGACCCTCCTCTTCGTCTTCTCCACCGTCATCCCTCTTTCTTATCCCGGAATCTCCCTATCCAATCAATTTCCGTCTCGGGTCATCTTGTCCTCCTAGCTGCTTCCACCCACGATTTTTTTCCTGCCCTGTCTTGCCCTTTAATCTTCAGCCCGATTTCTCGTTCTTGGACGTTCGGTCCTCGGCTCGCTACTCCCCGTCGCTGGTGCGCTGCAGGGGCGTCTCGCGGCGTGGTTTATGTGGCAAGTGGGATTGGGTCGCATTTTTCCAACGATGTCGCCAGGTCAATGGAGAAATGGGACTCGAACTTGCAGCCCAATAAGATTTGCTATGAAAATCATCGCCCCAAATGGCGGTGGGAGAAGATGAGGGGGCTCAAGGACGGAAAATTCAGCAGAGACGCCATTGATGCAATTGGCTGGAGAGGAAAGCTATGTATGGTGAATGTAAAAGGGGATGCAGCCAAAGAAGGCCTCGTCTACGATGTAGAAAAAGACTTATGGGAAGAGATGCCGGAGGGGATGTTAATGGGGTGGAGAGGACCGGTGGCGGCCATGGATGAGGAAGTTATGTACGTAGTAGACGAGAAAAAGGGTGTGGTAAGAAAATATGACGCAAAAACGGATTCTTGGGAGGATGTAATGGAATCCGGAAGGTTAAAAGGGGCACAGCAAATAGCTGCCGGTGGCGGGAGAGTATGCATCGTTTGCGGCGACGGAGAGATAGTGGTGGTGAATGTAATGGTGGCGCCACCGAG